TTAAAATATTGTGTTTCTAGTCTGATTAAATTCCGACGAACGCTTCCCTTGGGCGGTCCTTGTTTGTCTTTCGAAGTTTTCTTTCTTTTCGTTTTTCTTGATAGAGTGTTTCGTTGGTTCTTTCTTTCTTTTTTTCTTTTTTTGATTTTTCAACGGATCCGTTGGTAAACGGTGGATTTTTGTGGGGATCGAGAGTGAAGTGAGTGTTTGTTTTCAGGTATAAGAGCGGGGGGAATCATCTGACGGATTTTGTCGGGGTGGAGCCGACCAAGAAGCGGAAGCGGCGAACTTCGTTCACGCCGCAGGCTTTGGAGGTACTGATCGGCTATTTCAAGATGAATACTCATCCGACTGGTGAGTTTCTTGGTTAATTATTTAGTTGAATGGTTGACGTGTTCGAAATCTGGTTGCGACAGTTGTAGAATATCAAAGAAATATCAATGCCTTGAACGATACAAATTTTCAAAAGTATCCGAAACGCGAAGGTAATTGAAATATAATATCCCTTCGTTACAGATTTCGCTTGTCAAAGTTATTAGCGAAGAATTGAAAAAAAAACTGTACAGTAACTTTTTGCATTTTCAACTTCCGCCTATGAAATTACTTTGGATAAAATTCCGCTGTTCACTAACGAAAGTGATGTACCAAGGAAAAAGTTCACGAACTTCAATTGAAATAGTACTCCATTGGAATGGTACTAATTGAAATAGTACTCTAGTCAATCAGATTGTCACTGAAAATAATTGCTGTTTCTGCTAAAGAATTATTCAAGAAATCCTCAGATATTAATAATTGATTTTAAAATGATTATTAATCGTTCGATACACGTGATACTAATCTAAAATAATGTGTGTTCACTTGCAGGTAATGAGGTCAGCACGCTAGCGCATCGTCTCGGCTACGACAGGGAGGTCATTAGGATTTGGTTCTGCAACAGGAGGCAGGCCCAGAAGAACACAAGATTGAAGAACACCTTGTAAGGACACCCTGTAGATCCGGTACCCGCGTAACGGAACCAGTGAACAAAGTAAAGCTTTAAGGACTCGATCTTACGTAGCGCCCGAGGAACACCTGTGCCGATCCCAAGGATGCGGGCCGATCTCGTATCCGCCGGATCGGCTGTCGAACCGTTGGAACGCCGCCGCCGACGAAATCGGCGATTTAACGGAACGTTTGAAATAATCGAGCGTTTCAGCGGGTTACCGGCTTTGAATTTTAAACAGCAGGTTGAGCGCGCAGCTGTGCTGCCGGTCGATGTAAAGATCATTGTGATTGCAGGCGTATACGAGACCTATCTGTAAATAACTTTAATCAATGAATATGTGATGTACAGGAGTCGAGCGTCGATTACTGGCGGTCAACTTTATCGATTGACAATGAAGCGAACTCATTTACCAACGGTGGTAGACATCGACGCAACATTTCCCCACGGTTGATAAACCAGTGATTGATAATTCGAAGTTACTGGCGGACGTTGCGCGAACCGTTATCAACGGTTGATAAAATGAAATTTCAAATTTCCCGGGGCTTTCGAGAATATTCTTTTTCTAATGTATTTAAACGGGAGAAGTCGTTCGCGCAACGTCCGCGGGAACCGGTCCGCAGGACCGTTGTCGGTAGTCCACGCCTCGACTCGCGAACTTAGGATAAGTAATTCCCGCAAGTAATCGCACAGAATAAATCTAGTTCGTAAAATTGAGAAGCTTCCAGCCAGCCGAGGATCGTCAACGATACGATTCGAAACGAAGCACAAAACGAGCCTCCCGCGAGAAGTGTCAGGTTTCTACGAATCGATCCTCGTATTTCTCGCGCGAGGGGATACGTCCAAGACTAAAATAAAAGAAGAACGATCGAAGGGGCCCAGTCGGCCCATTGCACACACTGAACAGAACATAGTTGAAGCAACGAGAGCAACAGTACCAACACAGATACCATCACAGTTCACATGCCATACACAAGGATAATACCGTTCAGTTGTCCATGAAATAGCAACGGAGAAGTTTTACAGTACCGCCGATATCGTTTATAACGATCGTGTCCAATTCAGTTCTCTTCTTACCGGTGACCAAAAGACAATTTTCCTTACTGGGACTTCCGTTTCTGAAACTGTTTCAACCGTCATTGTTCTCTGGGTGTGCTCGTCTGTAAATTACGCGCGTATTTAGGGATCGATTGAGATGATGAAGCGACAGAATA